GTTGGAAACATCAGAAACACCTCCTTGCAATCGGCTTGGCATATTGATTTGATTGAGTCGTCTGGGGGGTGGTTGAGTTGTCGACCGCTCGGCTGATCGTGATGGATTAGACCGATCAGTCGTCCTTGGCCCTGCCGACTCACCTCTTGCCTTCTCGGCCAAACTTTCCCTGATCGGTTCGCCTGAAAGGTGGTGTCTTGGAGGCCAATCTTTCCACCTTTAGAGCCATATTGTGGGCTTCGTCCACGGAGTATATATTTTGGATGACCACCTTCTCTTGAATTGAGTACTTTAAACCGCCGATATACTTGGTTGCGAGTTGTTCCTCGCTCATCGACAAATCGCAACAAGAGGTAAGACGGAAGAATTCTTCGGTATAGGCGCTTACTGATCTGATGCCTTGACGACATTGTGCGAACTGGTTGTAAAGGATATGTTGATAGTTGAGTGGTAGGAACCTAGCATGGAGTAATTGCTTCATGCGTCGCCAAACCCGAACTGGTTGCTTACCATGCCGTCACCTAATGTTTTGAGTCTGATCCCACCATGCCGCGGCTCCTCCTTTGAGACGATATGCTACAAACTTCACATGGTTTGCTTCAGGCACATTAGTCATCTCAAAAAACTTCTCCACTTCATATAGCCAATCCAAGAAAGCCTCTATGTCCAGATTTCCTCCAAAGGAGGGGAGTTCTATCTTCATCCGGTACTCTTGATCGTTGTGATGGCCGCCCTGTCGGTGATAATTGCGACGAGGGTTGAAGCCTCTGCCTCGACTTCTGCCATAAGGTCGCCCTCCTTCTTCTTCACTCAAGACGTTGCCGTACCATGATCCCTCAAATTGGCCACCATAGTTTGCTCCTTCGTCACTAGATTCATCATGTGGAGGGGGTTGGTTAGGATGTCGTCTATGATGTGGAGGGGGTTGATATGAAGGAGGTTGATACGAAAGGGGCTGATATGGAACAGTTTAGTTTGGACGTGGTTAATATGGAGGGGGGTGAACTGGAGGGGGATGAGGATTGTACGGGGGTAGATGTCGGGGTAACCTAACTCTAGGTTCGCTTAGGTGAAGACCGTCAGCGAAATTATTCCCATTATTGTGGTGAATGGTAAGTCCTTTAATGGCTTGTTGAAGGTTCTGAAGAGACGCCTCCAACATGTCAAATCTTTCATTCATAGAATCCATCCTCGCGGAAATATCCTATAGAGAAAGCTCCTTCTCGCCGTCACCTGCCATTGTCGAGGATGTTGAAGCCGAAGCTCTGATACCACTTGACGCAGACGTAGAAACAGGGAGGCCAATCGGATATCGTTTTGATGTCGACGAGCTCTGACAACAGCAGGTAATTCACGAGCTTGAATCCACAAGCTCTAAGTTTCTCAAAGTTGAGAACGAAAACAAGGAGAAAATTTCTCTTAATTGATTAATTGAAAAGTTGATTTACAATTTACAAAAGGAACTAATATTTATAGCCAACTAAATCTATCCTAACTTTAATAAAAAAGAAACTCTTAAGTCTAAAAGGAAAATACTAAATCCCAAAAGGAAACAATAAAAAAAAGGAACTCTTTCCTAATCTGAAATCCGAGTTGACACGAGGCGTGGCGAGTAGTAACGCCTTTCGTGTCAACTGGACATGAGCCGACTAACATGTGTCGACTGGCTCCCTTTGTGTCGACTGGGACATATCGACTGGCAGGTGTTGACTAACACCACCGTTTGTGTCACTTAGGGCGTGTCGTTTCGTCCTGTCGACTGGGGTCTCGGTTGGGATCTCGTCCTGTCGAATGGGGTCTCGGAGTCTCGGGTCCTTTCGACTGGGGTCTCGAAGTCTCGGATCCTTTCGACCGGGGTCTCGAAGTATCGGGGTCTCGTCTCGTCTTGTTCGAGTCGTCGTGTCGCGTCTTGTAGATCTCTTGTATCAATATCAGTATGACATACTATCCTGATCACCTAATAACTCCCTCATCCTCCACAAAACTATGAAATATATGGTGGACTTCCATAGTAATCCTTTTCTCAGGGTTATGGACTGAAAGGCTGGAAGAAAATATTCAAAAAAATTTACCATCTATGGTATGAATACTTAAACCTGAGCATCTTACTTGGCATGTTGAAGTTTAGAAGGAATTATTTACAATGAGGCTCCCTAAGGGCCGATATTTGCTTAGTATCAGCTGGGCCATCTTGATAAGAGATGGGTAAATGCTTTCCAAAATGAAAGTTTTTCATGGTTGTGGAAAACTTCTCTAGGATCCAGTTGGTGCTGCATTAAAAAAGAATTAATAGTGGAACTCAAGTATTTATTGGTGCTTCCTGATGTCCTGTTGTCTTTCACATTATCTTGACTGATTAGGATTTGGGTTTTTTGGGTCCATGTGCAGCAGCAGAGTCAAATCTTTTTGTCTTTACCCAGGCCTAGATGATGGAAACAAAGACATTGAGATTGGAGTCTGGTTTCCATGCTACCTGTATGTACTCCTGGCATTCATGCTTTGGAAGTATGAGCCTGGTATTTGAGATACGAATCATATGATGTGGACTAGCTACTTGGTTGTCTCTTGCCACCATGGTCATTAGTTGGAACACAAGGAAAACAAGTTAATGGTTCTGATAGTTTCACTTGGAAACAAAACCATCTGTTGAAGGTATTGCACATATACTGGAGGAACCCCGAAGTACAGAACTGGTTATTGTGAATTTTGCATCATCCATTTAGCAGAATGAGGGAGAAACTGTCTTCAAATACTGGGATTCTGAAAATTTCGGATAAATCTTGGTACAACAATTATTGTAATTCTCGATTTGCTGTCGAAATTTTTTTGAGATGATTGATTCCTTATGCTCAAGATGCTTGGGGCTTGACATTAGTCTAAGAACACTTGTAAGGCATAGGAAATGTTTGTTAGATAGAGCTTGTGATCTTACAAAATCTTGTCATCCCGCTAATCATTTGGGGTGCTAATAATACAAACAACTTACATCATACAATATGTAGGCATTATCAAGGCTTACCCACACTTACCATCTTAAATAGTCTAAGCCAGTAGAATTCCAGGTAAATAGTTACCCATGTTAGCCAAAACAAATCCAATGTTATGGAGCGCCTCAATAAGCATCTAATGTTGTTGAGTGGAATACATAGGATATCATTTAGTCAATCTCCTCAAGGGGTCAATTGCTAGAACTTTGCTATTTCAATTCACGCAGCAAAGAAAGGAGGGCCTGCTGGTCTTGTTGGTCCATTAGCATAAGATCTCTCACATGAACATAGTCACAAGGTTCATAACATGTGCTGAGTGCAACACATGCTAGAGTCAGCAGGCAGGAAAATAGCTCTCTGGTGATTTGTTTCCTCATTTATGTCTTAGGGGAAAATTCCATAAGTAGACTTGAGGTAATTAAGGCCTCTTTTCAACTTGCTTACGGTTCCTATGCGCTGTTAGACACTTGGAAAACCAAAAGCCTTCCTGTACCTCCACCACTATAGCTTCCATCTCATAATTGTTCCTCTTGACATATGCAATGGAAGCATTGGACAGGAGCAATGCAGTTCTAGCAAAAGAGTTTCCAGAACTCGGAGAAAACCAAAACAGGCCTAAGAGGTGAAGGAGTTAGCTCCTACATTAGGAGCTAATACCAGAAAGAATGAGCTTTCTCTCCTATCTGACCTTAAATAATTGAGAATATATGCATAATTTTCTTTAATAATGGCAATTCTGTGCTTGGATGTGAAAATGGGAGTTTGCCTGTGTTGATAATTTAGCCGGGGGAGTTATGCCAGTTAGTCATATGGAGGCAAATGTGGTTGTTTGGAGAATTTAGTCAAAGAGCTTTCATTGTATTAAAGTATTAACTATATTAGGAAGTATTAATAGGTAAGTCTTAGTTATATTAGTAGAATAAGAGATGTTAGACATAAATGTTTAGTCCCACGTTCTGTGTCTTGTATAAAGGTAGTTGTAGTCTTCTTATTTAATGAGAATCTGTAGTTATTTTACTCTTTAACACATGCTATCCTGCATTGGTATCTTTTAAAGTGAAAGAAGGCACACTGGTTGCTTTAATAGTGAAACCATTACTCGTTCCTCTCATGGTGTCACGGTAAGAAGGCTTCATACATAGTTGATGTACCCTTGTATAGTCTGCTGGATACTTAATTTTTTTTTTCTTCCTATTTTACCATCACTAGTGTTTCTATAACGAAATGCGTGAAGAACACTATATATATATGTATATGTAGCACATTTTGCAAAATGAGCTGCTAGCTCAATGCAACGTGAGCCCCCTTACTAGTCACGTCGGGGTGGGGCTTACATGGCAGTGAGATGGTAGCCGGGGTGGGGCTTACATGACGGTGAGATGGTAGCCGGTGTGGGGCTTACATGACAGTGAGATGGTAGCCCATTTTGCAAAATGAGCTATCAAGAGATAAACACGTGGTAAGACCCATCTTGTCAGTCATATCAAAAGTTGTGGACCTCACCACTCTCTCTCTTGGTAGCTCATTTAGCAAAATAAGCCTATAAAATGAGCTACCAAGAGATGGTCATGTGGTAAGACCTACCTTGTCAGCAAATCAAAAGTTGTGGACCTCACCACTCTATCTCTTGGTAGCTCATTTAGCAAAATGAGCCACCACCTCATACCACTATTTCATATAAATGTTTATGTTATTTGCGATCCAATGAATATAGATTTCATCGCGTAGCATCTTGGCTTTTCTAAAGACTACTACAAGCTTTACATATTCGATGGAATCAATCACCAAAAGTTAGATTATATTGTCCAAGGCCCCAAAATCGATCAACTCTAATTTCTAAAGACTTTTATTAAACAACAGAGCAATATTTGGCTTCACTTTTTCTTTTAAATTTAAATGTCTCATTGACTTCTTGTATTTATTATTGTTCGTTGTTTCTAATCACTATTTTCAATAAATAGATGTGTTGGAAGATACTGGCTACCTGTTCTTGACCTGTATTAGCTGTTGCAGGAAACGCTTCCAAGGTTTTCGCCTCGTCTTGGAGTTGAAGTCATCCAGAGGAAAATTGCAGCTGCATTGGAACTGTGATGGCTAGAAATTAGTGTATTTTCCAACCAAAACCTGTAACTAAGATAAAATTTATTGCTTCAAAGATTAACTTAGGCCCTTCCGTTCTAAAGAGATGCAGCTTTTTAAGATATGATTCCTGCTATTTATGTAGCTTTCAAGTAGCACGCTTAAGCTTTTTGCATGAATAAAGAGTTTGATTAGTTTAAAAAGTTTTGGTTGTTTGCTCAAGAAAAAAGACAAGAATCAATAACAAGACCCCTTTTCTTTTTCTTTTTCTTTTTTTATTTTTTCCCCCTCTTTTCATGGAAGGGAAACGGTGGGCCCATTTTCATTCCAATTTTGTTCTTCATGTTTCAGAGAAGACAACACTAACTAGAAGACAACGCTAACTAAAAAAAAAGAACTTTTAAAAATCAAATTAAACCAGCAATGACTTTCAAAATCACACTAAACACTTAGAGGCTGTTTGGTTGTTGGTAAAGTTGTGTATTTATGACACAACTTGGAAAGTTGTTGTCCACCTCATCAATTTCACTTTTATACTTTTCTTTGTTTGTTTTTGATTCCATTGGAATCATAAAACACTTGTTTGGTTTGCAAAATAAAACTTTAATTGTTTGTTTGGAAAGTGTAAAAAGTGGTCCCTACTCAAATGATCATATTGGTTGGAATTATTTTTTATTATTTTTTCCTAACTTTAATGTTAGCTTTCTCCTAAAATCATGTCTTTTTTTCATGAAATCACTTTACAAGCCACATCAGCATATGAAATCACTTTACACTATTTTCACAACTACAAACAAACAATTGAAAGTGATGAAAGCTAACATTGGGACCCACTTTTTTACACTTTATATCCTTTTACATGGTAAAAACATACAACCAAACAGCCCCTTAATAACTTTTGGAATTGTAGAAAACCCCCAAGTTTTTGCATTCTGCACCTAACCCCATAAATTAGAACAAACAACCAACATAAAAAGTTGTTTTGAAGGACCATTTCCGCAAAAGAAAAAGCAAAAATCAATTAGAGTTCAGGACCCCAACTTAGGCATGAGCAAGAGGAATATGAATGACTAAAAATAAGAGATTTATGTTTTTAGGGTTGAAAATATAAAAAGGTCATAGAGGGGTTCTCATAATTTAAGAGATATTTTGGTCTTTTTAAATTGCGTAGGTTGCACATCCCATGTCAAATGTAATGCTGTTATTTTTGCGCCTTTTCTACAAAAATAATTGGGGAACTAGTGTGATTTTTGAATGTTCTTGAGGGTTTTAGTGTGATTGGGTTTAATGCAAAATACTAAAATTTTGCGGGGATTTAGTGTAACTTACCCAAAAAATTTCGATAACTAAACCACTCCTTCCGAACTACATACCAAAAATATGAATTTATTTTATTGTTTGAAAAAGAGTACTCCAGTTAGCATTATTTTAAAAACACTGCTCCTAGGTCAGCATGGAACCTTCATAAATTCAAAAATATACATAAGATGCTGGGAAATTTTAGCCTTCCTGCGTACTATGATCTCTCTTGTTGGGAATTTTAGTCTCCCCGCGTACTACGATCTCCGCAACTCGGAAGCCAACCCAGAATCAATAAGATAGAAAACAACTGCAATCAAGAAGAACGAACACCAAAATTTACATGGTTCGATCGACCAACTTCGACTTATCTCCTAATCATGATAGATATCTAATCATATCTAATTCTCATGAAGTTATACAAAGAATCAAAGACACAATCCCAACATAATAAGATACATATTTGTTGCTTTCCATTATCCCATAGTTTCATTATTTTTCAATTTGTTTCTACCTCATAGTTTTATTATTTTTCAATTTGTTTCCACAGGACACCGACACATTGGGCCTCGTTTTCACAGACCACAAACTGCGGCCCATGAAAATGTGTACGAAGTACGAACCAAACATGCCGTCGAAGTCCTGAAATTAAACGATAAGTTCTTCGTCCGGCATCAGAGGAACTGTGTAAACAGTCTCTCCAGCTGCATTCAGTTTCATTAGAAGCATTTGAATGAAGACGTGCAATCACAGCGAGAATACACAGTAAAAAAAAATTTGCTCACTTGACTTGTAATAGATAAGACAAATAAACTAAGACGAGAGTAATCACAAAGAGAATACACAGTAAAAAAACTCATTTCAATTGTTATAAACGAGACAAATAAACTAAGACGAGAGTTATCATAACTTCGAAATTTTAATATAATTATTAGAGGAACTTTTATCAGAACTAACCCTGGTTCAAATCTTATTGACCACGAATATAATACATATTTAAAAAAATTGTTATCGCTTGGTGGGCTCAATTTCATCCACGAATATAATACATTTAAAAAAAATTGTTATCGCTTGGTGGGCTCAATTTTAACCCATAAAAAAAACGCTCAACCTGCTGGTATATGTTAGACTATAAAATTATAATCCCCGAGTCTTATCATAACGTCAGATTTTAATATAAATGGTTAGATCTACTTTCCCACTATGGTTTTTTTAAATTCCTATGGGCTTCCTCATAGTAGCAGCTCCTCTATCAAAACATAAGAATCCTGCAGAAAATGGGCTTCAAACTAAATTAAAAAGGCTAATACAAACTGAAACCTTAATTAACAAAAATATAATTTGAAAAATTCAAGCTATTTTTTTCCATAGCAAACGAAACCTCTTTTTAACCAACCATCTCCATTTCCCCTCTACATTTGACGACAAAAGGGGGAAAAAAGAAAAAAAAAGAATTTTAAAAAGAATTTTCCATTCAGCTCCTTATCGATAAAGTTCGGTTCCCTTATTCTGTATTTCTATCTACTGTTTTTAATAGCAAGAGGAACAAAAATAACTCTCTCACTTTCTTTTAGCATCAAAGCTCTCAAAGCCTCTTACTTCTCACCTTACTAAGTTCTCTATTGAGCAGCAAAATCAGAACTTAGTTTGCTTCGGAGACAAACTAAAAGCTTGGAATCGACAAGAGCGTGGCTTCAGCTTCTTATACTGAAATCAAATTCAAGGCCAAAAAAGAAAATTCAGAACGTAAACATTTATAAAAGGGCTCAAATGAAATCTCAGGGAATATAAAAACTGTATTTATACCTTTTTTATGAAAGCAGAAATTTCTTCATTTGTCAGAGCTTCTTCCTTCGCATCTTCCTTCCATCCAAGAGATTTCATAAAGGCTTTATCTTTTTCATCGATATCAACTGGGGGTGACTGTTGATTTCCTTCAATGTCTTTTGGAGACTCAGATACAATTGTCTCCTCCAGATTAATCACAGAAATATCAGTAGCAGATTCATTTTCAGAATCCTGACCAATGATGGAAACATCACCACAAGTCATAGCATTTTCCTCCAATGACAAAGAATTCTCAATAGAATCACTTGGCTCAGGATTTGAATCAGCACTTGAATTGTTGATGACAGATGATTTGGTCCTCAGGGAATTGAAGAAATCATTTCGATTCTTAGCTTTAGCTAGAGAGAGGGGTCTTTTCTCTCCAAAAGGCAATAAACTCATACCCATATCCCTGTTTTTAGTCTTGGGGTTTGAATTGATGGGGCTTTTTGGGCTAATGTCTTGGCTACTGGAATCTTTGGCAGCACTAGGCGAGATGACCCCAGTTTTCTCTCGAGAGAGGACTTGAAGATTTCCAATTTGCGACGATTTAGGAATGTCAGATTTAGTATAAGCAGGAGCACGAGGAGCATTATTGGCACCGGGAGAGACGGGCCCTCTGAATTTAGATTTTTCTGAAGAGTTGAGACCCTGACAATAAATGCAATATTCACAATATTAATTCTCTCGCCAAAAATATTAAACACCTTGATCATAACCAATATAGAGTTACCTAGCACTTGAAAAAGATTAATGAAATATTGGCAACAGAACTTGACAACCTACATACATACATATACACACATATATATACACACGCATACATACAAGTGTGCGCGTGTGTATAATCCACAAATCAACAGCTGCATCACTGAAACACGTCTACCTTCACATGGTAAAGGTTTTAAATATCGGATATCGGGGAAATATCGGATAGCCAAAATTCATATCGGATTGCGGATATCGGGGAAATATCGGGGATATGTGGTAAATATCGGAATGCCATAAAGAATGTTTGCATACATAGTATAATGCATTAAAATGTAATCTCAACATATGTAATGAAATTTAAGCATACAAAATATGAATAATATATGTTTAGGATCACTAATCAACCTTCTAAAACAAACAAAAGTGCAAAGCAACATTGCAATATTCGATCTGCTTTTTTTAGGGCAAAATGTCATTTGATATAATGGGGAAATCTTGATATCTCGCCCAAACATTCCAAACACGTTATATTATTTTGTAACAAGCTATATAAAAAGATATATTGGTCCACATATCGGCTAATATATCGGTCATATCGGGGATTTATCACTCAAAATAGCCAAAAAGCGGTAAAGGATATTTAAAGACAATATCGGTTGCGGCAAGCCCGGTAAAAGGATATATCGGGGGATATATCGGGCCATGTCGGGGATATTTAAAACAATTGATGGTAGCCAGTACAAAATGAAAGAAGAGCATAAATTATCTGACTAAAATTGCAAGATGTTACCTACCATTGAAAGCAGAATATCAATCACAAAGGATATACCAAGAAAATCCATAATCAAACAAGTTTGTGAAAAAAATGTCTGTCCCCTCAGAGTCCAAAGATACCATATCAAAGCCCTATTCTAAATGGAATACTAGTGTGACGAAATGCACACCAACCATAGAAAATACTAGGTAATACTCTGTCATATCATATCACCCTCTCCGTTCAACACACAGGAAATCTTAATGGTATGAGTGACGGGAAAACTCATTAATGGGTAATACTCTGCGCACATAATCAACAATTAAGAAAAACAGGTACTATGATTTTGATTGATTAAAAAGAAAGGTAATGGGCTCAAAGATACTAAGCACATAAATCAAACTTGTCAGAAGCTTGTTTTTTCTCATGTATAGGTGGGGTGAAGATGGGTGGTTCAGTTTAGAGGAATATAGGAAGAGAAAGAAATAAGAATCATTACCTTAAGTAATTGAGAAGTTTAATCGTTTAGAAAGTGAATAATTTTTATTCGAAGAACGAAGCAATTACTTCATTCTATGAACCACCAACCCCATACAGGTTAGCACAAGGTCAAAGAAAAAAAAGTAATACACTATTTGGTGATTGTTCTCAGAAGCTATTCCTTAAGAGTTAATAGTGTCTGCATGCATTAATGCTTTATTTTATTTAGAACACATCTGGGCGGATGTAGCCGTGCGTGTTATTGTTTGTTCCCCCAAACATTAGCAAATACCACATAGATAAAGCACTCATGAAAAGAAAGATACAAAAACCAATATTAAACTATTCACCAAATATTATTATAACATCAAGAGTGCTAAACTGCTGCTCCATTAATTAAGAAATAAGTATCCTAACAAGATCCAACCAAACACATATCCTGCTATATAAACGAATTTAACAGTATATTTAGAATATGTGATAATAAGTTCCCTAGTTTCATAAATACAACCTTCTACCCAAATTTGGTAATGCACAGAAGTTGAGATATTTCACTTCACTAAGGTCAAACATGTATTCACTTCACTGTCTGTAATTCATGCCACATGTACAAAATTAATAATTGCGTGTGTCATGCCTATGAGCTGAAGATCGTCAAATTAAACAACTCAATGCCAAATTATGCACTTAGTATTGTACCAGAATATAACAAAAGCTATCACTAAAAAGATGTGCAAGTGTGTAACATTCAATCTTGCTAAAAACTTGGATCCAAATTTGGTAATACAAAGAAGTTGAGATATTTCACTTCACTATGGTCAAACATGTATTCACTTCACTGTCTGTATTTCATGCCACATGTACAACATTAATAATTGCATGTGTTGTGCCTATGAGCTGAAGATCTTCAAATTAACAACTCGATGCCAAAATATGCACTTAGTATTGTACTAGAATATAACAAAAGATATGAAAAAAAGATGTGCAAGTGTGTAACATTCAATCTTGCTAAAAACTTGGATTCATTTACCGTATGATATCATTACTTGCATCGACAGACGCTATAAAATAAACCTAAGGTCCTGGGTTGATGCTTGCAGTGTTTAGCTACATACAAGAATAACTTGAAGTTGCCTAATTGTCAAAAAGATCAAATCTTTTGGTTCCTTTAATGCATTGCACAAGTTCAGACAAAAATGCTATGCACCCTCATTGCATATCCAAGTTAACTAATGCGCAAATCAATCGGCCCACTAACTATACCAGCCTATGGAAATTGGCAGCCTATAGAAGGTGGGAAATAGAAGGATGATAAAGGGCTAAAAGTGTAAAAAGATGTGTGGAACTATGGATATATATAATATATATTGTGAGAAACTAAATTTATATCATAGTAGAATAGTAGAATAAACATAGGAGGCAACTTTCATAAAATAAAGATGGTCACAGTTTAAATGTTCTCATAGAAAATGGTTGGATATCCTCTCTATCCTACTATGGCATTCGCTAGTGCTTTTTAAAGCCTTAACCTTTTGGACGTGTGTACGCGCTATAAAAGTTGGAGTAGAAAACTGGATGAAGCCTTGAATTTCATCCTTATAAGTTTATATTTTAGTTACTTTAATATAAAATTTAACTTTAAGCAGAGGATAACGTTTAGGTATATAATTATATGCTCTTTGCATTTGCTACCATATCTAAAATGGATACTTAACCTCTGTCATTATTGTGTCCATATTTTCTTCAGATGGATAATTCACACCATATTTATCTAAGTACACAAATAGAAAATCAGCACGGTTGGATTGTTACATTTGTTTAAAATGCTTTTAACATGAGGATTACACAGAAATTGGAAAGCCATACTCATGTCGGACTCATCCAATTCATCCTAATCTTTACTCTTAAATTACTGTCCATATACAGGATAGAGATATACCACATCACTATACCCTGATATGTTGACTATAAAAACAAGAGGTGAAGGACACAGCATGCTAGCTGAAAAGGAGAACAAAAATTGTATGTATCATAAGCATGTGCATGACATGCAAAAGTGGTATCTCCTGTACTAGGAAGAAACATGGCAACGAGCACTAATGCAAAATATACTCTATTTAATTGGAAATACAGTTACAAGCAATTAGCACTATTCCGTAACATTGAATAACTATATATAGGAACTATCTCTTGGCATTCATTTTCATCTTCCCCCAGTAATGTTTAATGCACCTCATTTCAGATACTTATATGTATGCGTGTATCAAATTTAATGTATTCTCACTAAGCCTTTACTAATCAAGGACTTCTACTATATCAACCCCTAATAAATGATAATTATAAGGTGATTTGGTGTCCTGTTATGCTACCATATCCAAGGAGGACAAAGAAGTTGAACCACTATAAAGTTAAAATAACAATCTTTCTTTAGAAAAAATCAAAAATCTTATATGAATTCCAGTCAATTACTTATTAATTACAATGGAACAAGTAATATACCATTTTTGGCGTTGTCGTCTATGATCAAGTTAAGATGTTTCTATATATTAAACGAACTAGAGGCCGACGAAGGGAAAAGCAAAAAGTTAAGAACTTCAATATATTTTATCCATTATAAGATGAGAAAATGAAACCAAAATCATAGAAGGTTCTGATCATAGTGAAAAAGACTTCGTTGCATGAATGCACATATAATATGGCACTCCTAACAGAACAAATTTTAAGGAGTACACACGATACAGAGAAATTAATGTCCGTGTCTATCTCGTGTCCAACAGGGGGTCTGACACAGCCTTCATGCTGCAAGTTTCTCTGATACTAAGAGAACCAAAAACATACAGATCTAGCTACCTCATACTCCTATAACGGCTGAGATGCCATGACAAAAATACATGGTGGGTTTTGAGAAGGATGCGGACGGGAAATTGCACAATTAGCAAATATGAAAAGAAGAGAGAAACCCAAACAAATATAAAAGTGCTAGAAAAAGGACACTTGTAAGGCAACAGTCAATCTCCCGATGGTTTGAAGTGTATATAGGCAACACATAGCGTAGGTTCGTCTTTTGCTTTTCAAGTTTAAAAATATATATAAATATATATACAATAACTGATAAATAGAACCATGACTTCAATAGTCCACAAATTACAATAAATATTCCAAACAATAATACAAGCTGTGCGAAGTTACTTGTCAGGGATGATAACAGTACTGTTGCTAAAGAGTAGAGGTAAGAGCGTATTGGAAAGGAACTTGAGAGACGGTGAGAAGAGGAAGGGGAGTCAGCATCCTTGCTGGAGTCAATTATGGCACCATAATCTAAGGAGAAAGATAAATGGGAGTCGGGGTGGAAGAGGAGCTCAATGGAGAGGGGGATAAGGGGTAGGGAGACGGCGTCAGTAACAATGTCATTGAGTGAGAAAGGAGAGTCAATGGTGGAGGAGCTCAATTTAGGGGACAAAAGGAAGGGGAGACGACATAATTGTCACCGTTAGGGGAAAAGGGAATGGTTAGGGAATAGGATTAGGAAAGAGAAATTAAAGGTAGGGTTAGGAAAGAGAAATTAAGGATTAGGACTAGGAGTTAGAAGGGGAATGCAGAATTTATAAACAAAATTCACACGTGAGTGATGCAGGCCTCCTTACACCTCGAAGACGCATATATAGCCCACACTATTTTGACAAAAGAAAACCTATAGCTCGTCTAA